ACATCTGGAAACTATTACTCTAGTGGAGGAAATAGAAAAGCACACAAACAATTGCTCTACAGTGCAAGGAGTACCACACATAGGGGAGAGCTCAAGAGCAAATGAGCCAACTCTCTTCTTCTTGACATAAAACGTTCTTTGTCACTGAGCCTCAGCTTCCATACTTGTAAGAAGTACATTACAAACACCATCTAACAGAGATTTTATTAATTCATTCATTTCATAACTATTACATGCCAAGAACTGTGCTAGACATTAGAGATATAGTAGTATGCTGTCTCTACTGTGTGTGTGTGTGTGTGTGTGAGAGAGAGAGAGAGAGAGAGAGAGAGAGAGAGAGAAACTAGATTGGTTATAATGAAAATCAGAATTTCTTTGTTCCAGTAGTTGCATATTGAAGTCAGCAGTTCTATATCCACTTTAGTGGTCCTATAATCTTCACTCCATGAACAGAAAATCTTAAGGAAAGAAAACTACCAAGTCAGACTTTTTCAAAGGTATTTGTTAGCTGTTACACCTGAATTTCCTCTATTTATGCCATATGTTATATCCCTAAACATCTAAACCCACATATACATTGAATAATCAGTGAATACTTAGCATTTTCAGAACAGTTAACTAATTACTACAAACACATACTATAAACTTATAACCAAAAATAAACAAAAGAGTTTAATGATAATTGAGCTATTCAAATTATTTAAGTACTTAAGATGTTTTAGAGATGATTAATTTTTTGACTTGTAGAATTGCCTCCACCTAAGCATCCTGCAGTATTGTATACAGTGTTAATCCAGTGTTACCCTGAAATGAATGCAACCATAAGTTTGAGCATCTACTTGATAAATTGCTGAATTTAAAGAGTTATTAGGGGAGTAGAGTTGTTGTATGGGAGAGTCAGACTGAATGCACTTACTAGGGTTATATAATTGCATTTTGCTTCTGTATCTCTTTTGAGTTAAAAGCTGTATTGGCTACTGCACAGAATCTTATTCGTTTAGAAACGAGAAACTCCCTGACAGATCATCTTATAGCTGTTTTCTTTCCTGTTCCACATGCCAGGATGCTTTGTCAAATAAAGCTATCTACAATAGACTTAATGGGGCTTACCAAATAGCTTTTCTCCCAGAAGGTTTCAATTCATTTTAATTCAAGGACTTTTGCGCATTTTTCTTCCCCTAGATCGTATCTAATTTTGTTATCTTGCTTCCGTAGCATTCAACTGCCGAAATCCTGTTCACTATGAGCCAGTAAGCAGGTCCTCAGTTTTTATCTAAATTAGCTACATGTTTTAGTTATCACTTGGTTCTAATTAAAAGCTTAAGCAACTAGATCTCCAAGTTGATTTTTTTTTCTCTTTCTGTGCTACCAAAGTTGAATTCCAGGAGCGTATAGCATGTTTCTGGTTAAACTTTACTTCCCAGACACACTAAGAGTCAAAGCAGGCCTAGCAGTGTCAGTTACATTTCCTTGGAGTGCCACAGAATTTCTGTTCTTCAAGGTACTCTATAGTAGCCAGTCCATTTTTGTGTTACACTGTTGGAAATACTCTTGCCATGAAAGAAAAGACTTCTATGCTCAAAGCAACATATTGAAGAGGGAAAATCAAGTCAAAGCAAATCATGATAGTGTGAAACTATTTCATTCTATTATTAGCCATGATGGAAAGTACATGTACCCAGTAAACATAAGAAGAGCTGTTCCCTTTCAGGATCTATCGTTTGCCTTGTTCACTTAAACTAGTGGTTCTCAGATTTGGTATGTATAAGAATCATTGGATTCCCTTCAAAATTTTTTATTTCTGGGCTATAGAGTTTGATTCAATAGGTCTGTAATGGGGTTTGGGAATCTGCATTTTACCAGGCATCCTAAATGATTTAGATGCTTGTTGTCCAGAGAGCACAGTTGGCAATCATTGACTTAGACTAATTCTCCTTCATTATTCTAGCCAAGTTTTCTCTTCCCTTGGTATCCAGTCTCCTTCCTTCTCTCTTCCAACCCCCCATTATTCCAGCTTCAGGATTTTTCAATTAATTAACAAGCACTATGTCCTCTAAACTGATGGAAATAGAGATTTAATATATGTAAAGCCACATAAAATCTAAAAAATACCACTTGGTGCTAACCTTGAGGTTACTGATTAGAGTGCAGTAAAAGGCAAGAGATTATTAGCGTGGGTCAGAGTAGTCACAGTCAGCAAAAGTTGATCAGGGCCTTGAAAGATGAATAGTTTTGGATAAGAGGGGGAAAGTAAGAAAGCATCTTGATGCAGAGAGGGAAGAGAAGGAGCAGGGCTCAAAGATGGAAATAAGGATGATATGCATAGGGGAGTAAAAGGTGGAGCAGATAAGATGGGTCCAGATTATGGGAACCATGAATGTCAAGGTGAGATTTGGCCTAGTAGGCAATATGGCTCTATAAGCATGTCTCAACCATGGCGCTAGTTATATGATAAAAGCAACATGAATTGCATATTTTAGGAGATAATTTTGGATTAAGAGAGACCAGCCAGAGACTTTTATAGGAATTGAGATATGACATGATGAAGGTTGGGACAAGAGTAAAGGCAATAGAAACTGATTTTTTAAATGGTAGAAGAAAAGGAAACAATAGAAAGTATGAAATTAAAGATGCTGGGAGTCATGAAAATCTATGGTACCAGATTGTATATAGATGATGAAGGAAAGGAAAAAACCCAAAATGAGTCTAGGTTTTCTAGTCTGGGAGATTGGAAGTTTAGTAGTTGTATTAGTTCGCTAAGACTGTTATAATAAAGTACCACAAACGGAGTGGTTGAAACTACAGGGATTTATTTTCTCACACTTAGTTCTGGAGGCTAGAAATCTGAGATCAAGATGTCAGCAGGGTTGGTTCCTTCTGAGGGCTGTGAGAGAAAATCTGTCCCATGTTTCTCTCCTAGCTTCTGGTGGTTTGCTGGCAATCTTTGACCTTCCATGGCTTGCAGGTGCATCACCCCAATCTGCCTTCATGTTCACATGACATTCTTTCTGTGTGTATGTCTGTCTCTGTGTCCAAATTTCCCCTTTCTATAAGGACATCAATCATATAAGTCTAGAAACCCACCCTAATGACCTCATTTTAACTTGATTGCCTCTGCAAAAAGTCTATTTCCAAATAAAGTCCCATTCTGAGGGCTGCAACATATCTTTGGAGGGGGGAGTCAAATTCAGTCCATTACAGTAGAACTGACAGGAATGGACTGATGGATGGAACTGATTTGCAGAATATGATGAGATCAGCTTCAGAGCTGATGGTTAGGAAATTAATATAAAGGATTTGTATACAAATCAGGGTTGAAGAAAGTAGAAGAGGTAGAAAATGATAGTATAGAAGTGTTGGCTAAAGCCCGGAGGATATCAATAAATGAGTCTGAAAGACAAGTGAGAAAGAAGAGCAAAGGGCTGAATATAGAACTTTGGGGGCTGCCCCCAGTAAGGGAAAAGAAAAGGAAGAGGAGTTTTCACAGGAGTTAGATAAAGGGCAGTGTCTAGGCTAGTTTTGCTCAGTGGTTGAGCGTTGACCCATGAACCAAGAGGTCATGGGTTCGATTCCTGGTCAGAGCACATGCCTGGGTTGTGGGCTGGATCCCCAATAGGGGGTGGGGAGGAGGCAGCCAATCAATGTTTCTCTCTCATCGATGTTTCTATTTCTCTGTCCCTCTCCCTTCCTCTCTCTCTAAAAATCAATAAAAATAAAATAAATATTTTTTAAAAGGGCAGTCTGAGAGACTGGAAGAAAACTAGAAAAGCATTGGATTATAGAGCCCACAAGAAGAATTTATAGAAGTA